CACGGTCAATAGCTTTCCCGGTGGCATGCGGCTGGAAAGCGCTCGGAGGGGCTGCCTTTCCCTCCCTCGTTCCCCGCCGCAGCCCTTCGTCCTTTTCCGTCCTTGCCCGCAGGCTATATTCGTATTCGGTATTTTGTTGCTTCCCTTGTTCTCTGGCATTTCGGAAATCGAAATAATTTTTCATTTGTCAAACTTTTCCCAAACGAACACTGTAAATGGAAAACTTGCAAGACTTTGACTCCATGGGTATCCTTGGAAAAAAAATGGATAACAAAAGACGAACGGTAAGAAGGAATGGAGGAGTCAAATTTAAATTCGGCGACGTTATTCTGACAGCCAATTAACGTTCGCGATCCTCGCGAAATTACTATTCGTGGCTATCAATGGAAATCGATACTGCCGTTGGCGGTTTCGGCGACAAGGATTGACCAACGACGCTGTCGCCAGCTTTGGATAATAATTACGCGGGAAACGTCACGATACTGCGTACATAGCAAGAGGCTACAAAGAGAGCCGTGAAGTGAACGGAAATTGGAAAACTCACGCGTGTTGAGTCGACGAATCCGCAGTTTCCGGTTTTGCGGAAAAAAAATTTCTTCCACGAAATCTTTAAGCTTGTTTCTTAATTTTTTTATTGCTGCACTGGACTGCATTAGAATTTTTCATCTCGCTTCCCAGCAAACAAGCTGACGTTATTTGTCATTATTTTGACGAAAATCTACTGGAAAACGTGAGAAATAAAATTTTAGTGCAGCGATAAAAAACAAATCTGAAAGTCTCACGGAAGAAAATTTTTTCGCAAAATCGAAAACCGCAGTTTTATTAGATATCGAACACATAAAAAACAAACCTTTTGTCTCTAAAATCTCTCCCCCTCCCAGCCAATCGATTTGACATCGAGCAGTGGAAAGGAAGAAATAGAATACGTACGACAAAAAATATTTGCAATTGTAATATTTTTTTAGTCCCGAAAAACAATACATGTAATAAGTCTTAACTCTAACAATCATAATCGATTATTCTTCTCATATTCGACCGTGAGTAATCTATTTTTAAAACTAATTTTTTTAAATTATTACATTGACTGTGTTTCGGGATTAATATAATTAGTCATATTATTAATATAATATGACTACACTGAGAGAGAAAAATGGTCTGGTTGGATTAAATAGTAATTCTGGTAGAAATGGACGAATCAGAATTTTTGGTTAAGTTTATTAGAATTCTAGTTGAAATAACTAGAATTCTGATTAATATAATTATAATAAAAATAAGAATTCTAGTAGATTTTACCAGAAATATTATATCAACCAGAATTTCAGTTATCTCAACTAGAATTCTAATAAATTTAACTAGAAATTCGTCCATTTTCAACCAGAAATTTTTTTCAGTGTGTATTTTTATAGAAAAAAAAGACAAACCTGAAAATTTTCGGATCTTCAATTCTAAATGTTTTTAATTTGTTATCACCAAAGGTCTGCGCATTAATTTTCGAAATTGTGCGCAGTAATCTGAAATAACTCCCAAGTAAAGCACAAGATTAAAATAAATTATCTGATTGGTCGAATCCTAATCTCTAAAATTTACAATCCTCACAAGAATACGAGCTATATTGAAAAAATGATACTAAAAAACTAATGTTACTAATCGAAGGATCACATTTAAAATACTCCATAGATAGTCACTTGGGATTTTTATGAATTCCGTACTCGACTTGAGCCGGAATATTAGGCTATTTTAATTTAGATATCAAATAAATTGGCAAAAAAAATTTCAAATAAAAATTGTAAGATTTTGAAGAGGGTCATCGGATAAACTAAATAGATTTTGAGAGTCCATTTTGAGCTCAATAAAATTCAGATTAATTATTTTCGGATGGAAAAACTTGTTTTAATGCAGATTCGTATTCTATAGAAAAAAAGTAGCTCATCTGATGACCCTACAACTTTTATTTGAAACATTTTTGTCAAAAATGCATTGCTTTCGAGATATTTTAGAAATTTGGAGCATTCGCTTTATGATAGAAAGTTCTGGAAATTTCGGGAAACTTTCGACAAAACGGAAGGATTTTAAGCCGCTCGTAATTTTAAGGAAGGCGATCGTTGATTCCCTTTCCCACCCGCGCATGCATCACTCTTCCTTTCCCCTTGGAATATTTGCATATCACCTCTCTCTCTCTCTCTCTCACGGTTACTCGCACTTACTTCTCATTGTCTGTAACTTACTGGACCTACGCGCGTGTATCCGTTTACCCATCTCCATTCGCCGCTCAAGGGAACTCTGTGTCACGGAGTGCATAACGCTTTCTTTCTCCCCTCCCTCCGCGGCCCCTCTCTTTTAACCACACACCTTCAATGCATTCTCACGCACATGCGGACGCACACATTCACGCATCACGTACATATCTCATGCCGTTTTTATTGCGTATGCATTCCCCGTACATCCGTCAAATTGGTTTGTTCGTGTTGCTTGATATTCTCCAAAATTTTTGCATTTTTAACGAGATAAACGTATATTCGAGCGCTGAAAAAAAAACAGAAGAGTCTAACTGCAAAAAGTGCAAGCAACGCGAACAGATCTAATCGCGTGTATTCTGTTTTGTGACATACTGTTGTTTTTCGGGCATTCTCGCGGTTGATAACTGGGCTGCCTATAATCGAAGTAATAAGCTGTAATAAGAAATTAACAATCATAAATTTACTTTTCTCACATTCAATTGTGAGATTGGTCGTTTGGTCTTTTACGCCTTACAACTTACTGTACACCATTATTCCCACATAAGGCCTGTTCTTTTCAGTTGAACTTCTTGTACCGTTCATCTCTTTTCTTTTTCTTCTTCAAAGTGAATAGAAAAGAAGAAACATAAACGTCCAAGAAGTTCAGCTAAAAAGAATAGATTTATTGTAGGCGACCCTCAACACTTTCTCTCTCTCCCTCTCTCTATCTATCTTTCTTTCTGGACGCGTTCGCTTTTGCACTTTGAGTCTAATCATTTCATCCTTGATGGTCATTAAATATTAAAAAACAAGGAAAATGATGCTTGCGAGCGCCAGAGCAAACGCAGCCCTTCTCTCTCTCTCTCTCTCTCTCTCTCTCTTATTTTTCTTAATATCTAACTTTACTTTTCTATTAATTTCACATCTTTTTTCCTTTTACCGTACTTATATTACTCCGGTAACAGTTTTACGTAGAAATATGGTTGGCTTTTGGTTCTAGAGAATGCAATCCTGGAGCGCATAATAGAGATTCTCTCTCTATCTCTATCTCTCTCCCTCTCCCTCTCCCCCATATAACGCACTCGCTCTTCCCGCCGAAACTTTACGGCGCCGTATTCCCGCGCCCGTGGATCGCTCATTCACGCCGCGAGCGTGATTTTAACACAAGAAAGACGAGGCGGCCGATTTGTTTATGCTTCTAGCCGACGGCAGCCGTGCCGGCGTATCGTCCGTCGCGACGACGCGAGGCGCGATTATGATCGCGGCGGCCGCGAAAATTCAGCGCCGTCGCGAAAATAACCGCGGATCGACCAAGCCGGAGTGCCGGCGACAAACGCGGGGCGAGAGGAGCGGAGGCGATTATTTTTCCTCCGATCTCGCGCGTGAGAAGAACGTTCACCCAAAACCGAGTCGCGCATAGATCGAAAGGAGAAAGAGAGAGAGAGAGACAAAGAGAGACGACGCAAACGGGTGGGCGAGAAAAGGAGAAAAAAACAACATTGTCGATCTCGCTCGTCGTGTCCGGCTCATTCGATACATCTCATTTCTTCTGACAGAACAGACAGAGGAGCGAGAAGGAGCGCGCGCGCGCGCGATCGAGAGCCTGCGAGAGACGAGACGAGACGGGACGGATGGATGGAACGGGACGAGACAAGGCGAGACACACGGGCAACAACACTTTTTCACAGAGCAATATTTACGCGGCGCGCGATATAATGGCGCCAGACCTACCGTATATCGATACTGCGTGTCCAACGTTTTCCGAATCGCACTGTCTTGTCCGCGTCCGGCAGCACTTTCACACATATATTTACGGCGGCGAGTCGCAGTCGAAAATTTTCGGCGCAGCGACCATGTATAAACCGTACACCGACACGGGTCCCCCTTGACGGAACTGAGGCAACGTTGGTTGACACGAGCTGGCCCGTGAACAAAGACCAAAAGATTTCAAATCCCGCCGCGCCGATTGGCCAGCCTCGGTCACGTGGCTCGGGCGCTCGGCCCCTTATTGGCCGACTGCCACGGGGGTGCGAGGACGTTTTGAACGATGCGCCGCAATGCACATGGCTGACAAAGAGGAGACTTCCCGCGGGGGAGTCGAGTGGACCCGGGGTCGCGCGATCGCGCCTCCGATTACCGTTTTGTCACCGACGGATCAAGAATCCTCGACGGATCCCCGTTGACGGGGACACACACACGATGACGCGGCTCACCGAACGTCGCTTCAGCGCGCACTCCGGTCTCTCCCTAACCTTCCCCACAAAAATGGCCGAACCCAAAACAACACCGCGCGCGCGGAAAGACACTGGCTCGCGATGGCGGCACGATGCTCCCGCGACGTATTTCTCGGCCGTCCGTCCGACACCACGCGATTTTTCCACCGTTCACCACGCGACGCGCGCCAACGCCGTTGCTCGTCCACGAGTTCCGTCTCGCGAGCGTGGCGAATAATCGCCGTGCCGTGAACGAGATTGAAAACGACGGGCGAGTCCATTGCGGCCACTACGGAGGGGAGTCGGGCAGCTGCCCGGTTAAGAATGAAACACTACGCGGTGCCGATAATGGCGGGG